AAAAAATAATATATGTATTCCTCTTGAACAGGGTGTGGATGGATCTTCACCAAAATTGGTATGGAGGTTTATTAGGTCCATGTGGGGGTACATACAAATTTTGTTTTGTGGTTTTTGTGGGCGTTTTTCACCACTGTTGAATTTGGTATGAAGGTTTGTTGGGTCCATGGGTAGATACATACAAAGTTTTAGTATTGCAGTTTGTATTGGTGTTTTGCATTTTTTACAATTACATATAAGGGAATCAACTTTATGTCCTAAGATAACCTTTCATTGATCATGAATTTTCATAACTTCCGTACATGGGACGGGTACTCCAAATAGTAAAAAAAATAATATATGTATTCCTCTTGAACACGAACAAGATCGTTCAACTGATTATCTGCTAATCGCACTTCGTCCGCCAACATCGGACAAATATCATCTTTGATAATTACTTCCACTTCATTTTTTTCTTAACAAAAAATATGGCAAATTTAACTGCTGACACAAACTATTAATAATGCTTATTTAATGTCCTACATGTATTTCAGATTTACTGGAGCCACCCCAATGCAGACATAACTCGGGTGCGTGTCATATATGTAATAAAAGAGTCTGTCTGGAATAATTGTTTAAGAAAGAGAACGATCGGTCAAATCAAGAATGTGTGTTGTATCTTAGAAGTCGAGAGGATAATATTTTTCGAAGTTGTGAAGTTATTTTCAAAGAATGATGCAAAAATATTAGTTGTTTTTTTTTTCAATTGAGGAAGTCAATACAGCACCATCAGCGAGATTTGGATATGTATGGGAGCACTCCAGTCAGAAGTTTAAATCTCTCCCAGTATTGCGAAGGAGTTGAAGAATGTCAGAGCTGGCTACAAACCTAGTAACAACGACGCCTCTTTGCAGAGGAGAGAGAAGCTATAAGAACATCTGATAATGAACTTGATATGGTTTGGGAAAGGAAGAAGCAGCAAAGATCCAGTAATATTTCGCAAACTAGATTGAAACTGTGTAATTTCTGAGTAAGTTCAGCTATGATATTTGATGTAAGCCAAGATAATATATCTTCAAAATTTTCTACACAAGTAGTAGAATTTATGATGTAGGAGAAAGCCAGAATGAACATAGATGAATCACGACAATGACGATAATCCCAAATTAACGAGCGGAATAGTCACAAAAGATCCACTGTTCAGCAAGGTAAAACTGGTCTATGTGGTGTGTTGTGATAAGTTGGGATACGTAAGGAACTCGCACAGGTGAGAGTAGTTGCAAGAATGATTATCAATGAACTATCATTATCAATGAAGGAAAGGTATATATATATCTTTTCCAATATGATTCTTTTAAGAAGGCCAAATGGTGTTAAGGTAATTGAAAAAGATCGTATTTTTTGTTGACATGATCACAGGTTACCTTGGTCAGTAGTTGAACCTATATGGAGATATGATCACTACCTACAGGATTACACATGGTGAGAAAGAGAAGTTAGATTTGCTGAAGCTGTAAGAATATCTGGCACACATTTGATGTGACTTGGAGAAGAATTAGGCAATACAAATCCAGTAATATTCCATAAAGTAGATTGAAACTGGGTAATTTCTGAGGAAGTTCAGCTATTTTAGTTCATGTTAGCCAAGATAATACATCTTCTAAAATTTCTATCCGAGTAGTATAAGATGTTATGAGGTAGGGATACACCATGACGAACATGCATAGTAGCATATTGTGATCATTATAGAAGGAAAGTAGTGAGTGAGAATAAGAAGTTCAAGAAAAGTGTTCTAGGGAATATAATGAATCCAAATGGCTAGGTGCACACGATCACAGATTGTCACACCACCTCTGCTAATACCTGATGGGTAGTTACAGCGATGGGGATTATAGCTAAAAAATTTTGCTTTTTGTGTTGGTTTTAGGACAGTCTCGTTGAGGATAATACAATCTTAGAATCCCTCATCTAGTAAAGTTACCAAAAGAGGCTGATTTGTGATGAAGAAATGAGCATTAACAAAATATAATTTTAACAGTCAGTCTTGATGTATCCTTGTTTTTCAGGATCTCATAAATAACAGAAATTCAAGTGTGTGTGGAGTCCAGAATATGTAGCTTGAATATTGAGAATAAAAACAGACTTAAATGAATAGTTGATACTGTCCAGGATAAAGGCTCTTAGAATTGAGTGAATATTGTGTAGAGTAACAACAATAACTCAGAGACTGTTTTCTGTAATTGGGAGTTTGAAGATGTAACTGGACCAGTGCTACCAAAAGCAGCTACAGTAACGGAATCATCAGGTCTTAAAAGTGGGTTTCCTCGGCATTTGTAGGAATACTTGGAAGGGTCTAGCTGACAGATATTGCAAATGGGGAGGAGGAGTTCAACAATGTGTACAGACTGGCTTATTAGACCTTGCTACAATACTGGCAATTTTTGCAGTCAAAGGTTGGAGTTGAGGTGCCTTAGAAGCTTCCACTCTATGTCGTTTAAAGATGAAAGTACCATGTTGATGAAGGTAGTCAGTTACATCAATTCTTTCTGCTAAAACACGAATCATGAAAATTAGTTCTTAAGCATTTAAGATATGCAATGCCCGCCTTATCGACGTCTTGCGTTTAAGTAGTTCTGGAATTATTTTATTTTCAGTAATAGTTGAAACATGGAGCTCAACAAGATGGAGGTTGTTTAAGAAAAGGGGCTCCGAGCTTCTGTATGGTACTTAGTACCTAACTTTGTGATCCTCATTTTAATACAAAGGATGTCAAATAGCTGAGAATTATAGTTCTTAATGACCATTCCATTACGAGTTTATATGAAATGGTGGATGTCTGCTCGAAGACAGTATTTATAGATCTCACAAACAGTGTACGAGTTTTATAGAATTTAGAGTCCATTTGACATAGTAAAAATACAGACAAGTTTCGTACATAACTTGTATTCATAAGAGCCGATGTCAAAAGTGAACTGGTTGGATGAGACATAGAAGATGGGGAATTTTACACTAACAGAAGGAGCAAAGCGATAGGCAAGATGTAATTTTGGCATAAGGTGGCATAATAGCAGTTTCAGTAAAAACAGCAGCAGGTAGTGTAGAATGATCTGGTTCCAGTGTAGCTGTCGAGAAAGTATGAACATAGGATGGCATGGATTTCTTGCAGTCATTGTTGCTGTAGGCAACTCTGTTAGCTCAACCATATCGTGAAGATCCATCACATCAAACAAACTAGAATGTATCCAATACATATGTATATAGAAATCATGAACGTCTAATAGTCCAGATCAGGGGTTCTTAAACGTTTTTGCTGGGCTTCCCTTGAGAAACTATTCCAGGCTGCGACTACCCTCACACCCACGCTGATAGCAAATTACTGTACATGTTCTAAAGTATCCAGATAAATAGGATTATAGATCTCTAGACTGAAAAGTGAAAACTGGGGCTTTTTTCCATACAATGACACTGTTACAGTTCTGAAACAGTTTAAGTTACAATAACACACTTTTTACTATTTACTAATTAATATGATGCTTATTGCACACTATTTTAAAACCAGAGACAAAAAAAATTATTAAACTCTTATCTAGTTAAAATAATAATAAATGCGCCTAAGTTGTCTTGAACCTACCCAAAAGAAAAATTTTGCTTCTTTGTTTTCATTTTCGTGGCTGGGTAGGTCTTCAAATCTTAATTCCTGCGATTGTACAATGAAGGTTAAGTTTAAAAAAAAAATAGTTTTGGAATGTGAGGGAACAATTAACCTATCTTTGTTAGGTGATTCTCTAAGTACAATTTACAGGAGCCATGTACAATGACAAATCGCAAATATCAAACTCTCATTGAGATACAGGCAAACTGAGGCCATTTAATACTTTTTCTGACCAGGACAAAAAAAAAGGCTAAAAACTGGGACGTCTCATAACTCTAAAGATGAGGTAATACAGTGGAAACATATCTGTAGTAATAACAAGACAAACGCTTAATTCACCAACAGGAAAACTTCACTCTGCACTTACAATCGCCACTGCACTGCAACAATCAACCCCTCTCTTTTTGTTCTTTTAGAGGTTTTGGAGCTTTTTAATTCAATGTTTATCAAAGGATTGCAACGCAGTTAAACCGCAGTTAGAACTTAAAATAATGTTTGAGCAGTTTATGCAGTCAGAGTATATTTTTCGAAAATAGTGCAGGACATAGCCATAACTTTGACTCGATAATAATGGCGTCATTATGACTCGCTGTCACTTTTAAGTTAACAGGTACTACTACTAAATGAAAATTCCAACTATATTTGTACTGTATTTCTACTAAACAAGCAAACATACCTTTATTTCAGTCCAGTGCATACTCCCAAATTCGTCTCTTCAGTTCCTTCTAGTGACTGTTGATCGCTCGTAGCTCCACCATGGGACCAATACTTGTATATATATATATATATATATATATTGTGTAGTTGTGACTAGTATTTCGTTAGTTAGGACGAGTATTTAGTTAAACGTAACGACCGTAATGTCTTGTTAGGTTTTACGTTTTCCTTC